GCACATCTGCCTCATTTTCGCTGTGGTATCGTGATACTACACAGAACCATGATATTTTCATTGGTATCGCACAGTGGGTCCCAATTTTGGTACCGTGACGACACTAATCTGGAGGGGGTTCATCTGCAAAAACTAATGAAAAACTAAACAATGATATTCGGTATTCGGCCAAGCGTTTAATATTATTTGGCTTCGGCTTCAAATTTTCATTTCGGTGCATCCCTACTAATTATGACAAAACTTCACACAAATGTCTTACAGGATAACTTGATGAAGTGATGCAATTTTATATCCAAAAGGTCAAAGGTCAGCTTGACGGTGACATCATAATATAATGCATAAAAACTTCTCTGGCCATTATTCAACGTCATATCTCAGGAACAGAAGGGGAGACATTTGGTCAGATACTGAACTGGTGACTCTAATGTTGGGTGTCCATCTTGAAACTGTGCTGATTGTATAGATCTGGATGTATACTATATACTGTAAGAGAAACTTGACTGGTGTGCAGAGGCATACGTCTGTACGCCAGTGCCAAAGGTAGCGCGTACCAGATCCACTCCCTCCATTCCTTTCACAGTAAAAGCACAAGACATATACGCTGCATCACTGTTGAGCAGAATCTATTCAAACCTTTTCCTGAGCAAATGTTGCAGTGCAGTGTTTGATCTGAAATTTTTGCAAGCGAATATTTTGCATTTACATGTTGTTTATTCCTCAAACCTCTAATGTATAAAGGCCTTAAGGGTCCACTTCTTAAAGGAGCCCCCGCTGCCTTATTTGGTGAGTCCTCAGATCTTTCGTTGTTGTAGAGTATGGATGCAAAGATGCTTTGGTGTCGTTATCTGATCAGAGCGGCTTTGCTCACGAGTGCTTTCCTACATTTTTATCGATTAGCTTAGTTTACAGTGATGATGAGACACTCTGCTGCCCGTAAAGACTGTAAATTCTCAGTTTTGTCTGTGGTGCTCCAAATACTGAGAAATATACACATACAGCAACTCCTGAGAAACACCTCATATAAGACACCGTGTCCCCAGCAGCATTTACAACCAGACCATTACCCAAGTACTCACGACATTACAAAGCTTCCAGCACCACCACCACACCAGCACTGAGTAGAAACATGTCTTTGTGTAGTTTTGTGTGGACTGACCCTTTAATAGTTGGATTAGTAATAGTGGATTTGTTGCACACTGACAGTCACTGCAGGTGGCATCTGCTGTTCCAGCTGCATTTAAACGAGCAGCAGGTGACTGTGTGTGTGTGTGTGTGTGTGTGTGTAGAGTCTTGTCCTCTCCTTCACACCTTTACCACTTCAGTCTTTGTTCCCCTCTCTCATCTGTTATCTTCCATCTTTTCATCCGTCTCTCCTTTCATTTGACGCTGGCGGCTGCAGGAATTCTCTGCTCCTCATCAAAAGATTTTCCTCACTTTATGCTCCTCTGATGTGTGTGTGTGTGTGTGTGTGAGTGTGTGTGTGTGTGTGTGTGTTCCCCGCTGTGTCTCTGAACACGTGTGTGTGTTGCCGTGTCGTTGCATTTGCACGGGTACACTTCTTATGTGAGGGGAAGCCTGCCAGGGAGGGTGTGTGTGCACACGTGGGTGGGCGTGAGCGGTCTCTGTGGAGATGGGAACCTTGCCTGCTGCTCATTGGCTAGCAGATGTGAAGGGGGGAGGGGCTGTCTTGGAGGAGCGGTGAGAGGGTCCATGGAGACGAGGATGGAGCGGATGCAGAGACGTGGGGGACGCACAGTTACAGAGACAGAGAGGGGGGCAAGGATGAGGGGAAGTACAGAGGAGAGGGAGTCACATTTTGACAGGAGCAGGACTGTAATGAATTAAATACTGAAACATGCTTCTGATATACAGCCACAAAATGTAATGATTTTTTGTGTGATTTTATGCGTAATTTTTTTTTTTTTTTTAACTTTTTAATTTAGGTAAGAAAATGTTCTGTTTCAGCAAAATGACATCTTTTATCACATTCATTAAATTTTCTCCCAAACGTGAATCTTTTTTTTTATACAGCACTTAGTTGAAGAAAAATGTCAACGATTTTTTCACATAAAGTGCAGTGCAGTGGAGATACATGGGTGGGAAGCCAGTGAGGGATCACATTGTTATTGCTGCATTAGTGACTCCTTCTGGTGGGTCAGGGTGCCTGCAGACAGCAGTGCGGAACTGGAGGAGAAAAATATAAATATTTAGTGTGTTCGCAAATTGCAAAATGGTGCAGCTAAAGAACTCCAAAAGAATATGATAAAAATGCTTTAAAATGCAGCTACACTACAAAAAACGTCAAAGAATGACAGTTTACAAAAGTTTGGTATCAGGTAAACTGTCTTTACCAAATTGTGCCAGACTTCATTTTACAGACAGAAGACACAAAGACATAAAGCTCCTTGAGGTGGTCCTGGTAAGCACAGATTTGGTAGTTGGTGGTCGGGGTGGATGGAGGACATACAGAGTGACTCTCTGGTTCATGTCCACACTCCTGCAATTTGGTGAAGGTTAAGAAAAGATCCTGATTTTGGTTAAATCCATCCATCCGTGCATCCATTTTCAGCCGCTTATCTGAAGCAGGGTCGCAGGGGAAGCAGGCTGAGCAAAGTACTCCAGACAACCCTCCTGGGGGACCCCAAGACGTCCCCAGGCCAGATGAGATATGTAATCCCTCCAGCATGTTCTGGGTCTGCCCCGGGTCCTCCTACCAGTGGGACGTGCCTGGAACACCTCTAACAGGAGGCGCCCAGGAGGATCCTGATCAGATGTTGAACCACCTCAACTGACACGAAGGAGCAGCGGCTCTACTCCGAGCTCCCTCCAAATGTCCGAGCTCCTCGCCCTATCTCTAAGGCTGAGCCCAGACACCCCACGGAGGAAACTCATTTCAGCTCCTTGTATCTGTGACCTCATTCTTTCAGTCACTACCCAGAGCTCATGACCATAGCTGAGGGTTGGGACGTAGATGGTCCAGTAAATGGAAAGCTCTGCCTTCTGGCTCAGTTCTCAGACGCTGCACCAAACCGCCGATCCATCTCACGCTCCATTCTACCCTCAATTGTGAACAAGACCCCGAGATACTTGAACTCCTTCGCTTGGGGCAGTAACTCTCTCCCAACCCAGAGGGGACAATCCACCATTTTCCGGCAGAGAACCATGACCTCAGGCTTGGAGGTGCTGACTCTCATCCCAACTGCTTCACACTCAAACTGCCCCAGGTCATGCTGGAGGTCACAGAGTGATGAAGCAAACAGAAACACATCATCTGCAAAAAGCAGAGATGGAATTCTGAGGTTTTGGTTAAATGTTATTTTAAAATGAAGGTGATAATAAAGAAATAATTCTGTAGTCACTACTGGTGGATAGTGTATTGCAAGATTATCTGTTTTGGTGGAATACTAGTGAAATACGCTGACAGGGAATATTTTTGCAACTTGCCAGGATCATTCATTCGCAACATTCCCTTATTAATGTTAATACAAAATGTAATTTGCTCGGCAAAAAGTTTTTCTCAAAAGCGTATTTGCTGTAGACGTGTAGATTATATCATGAAATGTTTCCTCAGCTGTGATCAAATCTCATTGTGCAGTTCGGACCTGGTTCACGTTAAAGTGCACTACTGAAATGCTGTTAAAACGGTGTTATGTAACCACCAGTAAACCAAACAAATCCACCCTTACTGGGATATTGTCCTTCACCCAAACTGGTTTTCCTGCAGTAGTGGTGCTGTACGGTGGAAACACGGTGACAGAGGGGCTGAGGGTGAGGAGTGAAGGAGACGGAGGAGGGAGGAAAGGGAGAGTCACAGTGAGTGTGTGAAAGAAAAAAGGGGGGAAAGGCAGGACGAGGGGGCGAGGAGGGGAGGGAACACCAGTGTGTGTATGCGTGTGTGTATGTGTGTGTGTGTGTGAGAGAGAGAGAGAGTGAGCAGGGGGAGGAGAGGGAAGCAGCAGTGGCAGCGCTGCATCATCACTACTGCCACCACAGCAGAGAGGAGAGGCAGTTTACTGCCTGCCTCCCTGGTCTTGCGCTCTCTGTCTCTCTCATACACACACATTCATGCACACACACTCTCTGACACACACACACACACTCTCTCACACACACACTGGAAGTCAGCCGGCTGCCTCTGAGCCTCAGTCGAAGCTCCACGGAGAAGAGATCCCAGTGACATTATCCATCACTTCTGGATGTTCGCCTGCCAGCGCTCCTGCGCCTGTCTCCAGGACTCTTCCTGCTCGAGACGCTGCGTGTGTGTGCTGAAGTGTGTGTGTTCATCCCCTGTCAGTGGACCATGGACGAGGCTGCCACTTCCAGATCTGACGCTGCTTGTTTGGACTGTCTTGCTTTTGTTTGCTGAGACAGCCGTCACTGTCAGTGTGGAGGAGTGTTAACATTGGAGCTGCTGGGAATTCCTCCATTGTTTTTCCCTCCTTTTTCCGTCACAAAGAGCCGAGAAGTGGATGCCTGGATTTTTCGGTGGCTGTGTGCCGGCGCAGAGTGCTTACCTCAGGATTTGCAGTAGAGGGGGGGGGTATGATAAACAGCTGCGAGGGGAGGACGGTGTGCACTGCAGCATCAGACTGGCATCTCTTGTTCTGTGGTGGAGATTTTTTTGTGCTCCTTGAGGTAGCACACATGCACGTATTTCACACCCAGCAGCAGCAGCAGCAAGCTGCGTTCTGCACACACCGATGGATTACTGCTACTTTAAGGACGGGCTCGCCGCCTGCTGAGGGAGAAAAGATGCTGATTTAAGAAGAACCGGAGCGCTCTTTGTTTTGGGAGTAGAAGACGGGACGAGCAACTTCAGGATTAAAACAGAGACTCAGGCGACAGGATGACGGCCGCATTGAGCTGAAACCGCCCCCTCCTGCTCCCTCCCTCCTCCAGTCTAAACATGAACTCTTCCTCCAATGCGAACCAAAGCGGCTCTCCCCCGTTCTGCCTGCTGGGCGCCGTGGGTTACTCCCGCAGCCTGGACACCTGCGTGCTGGAGGTGGTCGTCATCCTCTTCCTCACCATGCTCATCATTGCCGGCAACCTGGTGGTGATCTTCGTCTTCCACTGCGCCCCACTGCTGCACCACCACACCACCAGCCACTTCATCCAGACCATGGCCTACGCCGACCTGCTGGTAGGCGTCAGCTGCCTGGTGCCCTCACTGTCCCTCCTCCACTACCTCCGTGGCCTGAATGAGGAGCTCACCTGCAAGGCGTTTGGCTACATGGTCTCTGTGCTGAAGAGCGTCTCTATGGCGTCACTGGCGTGCATCAGCGTGGATCGCTACATTGCCATCACACGCCCTCTGTCGTATGCCACACTGGTGACGCCGTGCCGGCTGAGGGTGTGCATCGTTCTTATCTGGGTTTACTCTGCTTTGATCTTCCTGCCATCCTTTTTCGGCTGGGGGAAGCCAGGTTACCATGGGGACATATTTCAATGGTGCGCAGACTCATGGAAAACCAACCCGGGGTTCAGCACCTTCATCGTGGCGCTGCTTTATGCACCAGCGGCGCTCACCGTCTGCTTCACCTACGGGAGTATATTTCGGATCTGCCGGCAGCACACGAGGGAGATCACCCAGCGCCATGCCCGCTTCAGCTCGCAAACGGAGGGCGATAAAGGCGAGCGCGGGGATCGCTGCGACGGCTGCACGGACAAACGCTACGCCATGGTGCTGTTCCGCATCACCAGCGTCTTCTACATGCTGTGGATGCCGTACATCCTCTACTTCCTCCTGGAGAGCGCTGGGCTGTATCACCACAAGGTGGCTTCCTTCCTCACGACGTGGTTGGCGATTAGCAACAGCTTCTGTAACTGTGTCATCTATAGCCTCTCCAACAGCGTCTTCCGGAAGGGCCTCGGCCGCCTCTTCAGCCCGCTGTTTCCTGCCTGCCTCAGCTGCGTGGACGCGAAGAAGGCTCCGGCTCCTGTTGTCCCGCGACCAGACCCTCGATGCCAAGTATGAGCCCTGACGACGACAGATTCGGTTTGGTCACTTTGGAGGCATCGGCCCTCTGTGGTTGTGCTGCGCAGCATGACACAGGTCTTTTTGGTCCCACAGTGAGATGTGGCGAGGACCTGCACAGAGCCCGGAGAGGTGCCTGTGCAGATGCCTGTCTGTTGTCTCAAAGGCTGATTTTACGGAGGCTGTGAAGCTTTCTTGAATGCTCCTGAGTGTGATGCTGCTCTTTATCACAAGCTGACGACACGGAGTTAAGAAGTTTGATCCTGATGACGGAAGCGGACTGTCGGAATACAATTCATGTGTCACTTCAGAGGATTTAATAAACACTCCTGCCTGCACTGACTCCACAACTCAGAACCCAGATGCAAAAAAAAAAGGAAAGCACAGTGCGACTTGTGCTGTGTGATCCACCGAAATGCAAAAAATAATTTAGATCTTTTCAAGCCTGACTGAACAATCTGCAAATTATCTTGGTTCTTTCAGGGTAGAATTAGGTGATGCAAAAAAAAAAAAATGTTAACACTTGAAACAGACTGCTGATCTGTTTCCCTTAGGGAACTTCAGATGCTAATGAGCGTCTGAAAAATCATCCATCTGATAATCAGCCTGTGTGAGAGTGGAAAATGTGTATCAGATGGACGTTAAGCTCATTTCTCAGAGAGAAGATTGAGGTTTCTTTCTGAGCTTGTGTGTGTTTTAGCTGGGTGTTAGTGGGAAGCTCCAAGTATGTTTACACAGTCTCGGGTTTCACATGAAATAGTTGATTTAAGAATTAGCTTTACTTTCTAAGATGGCCGCTGACCCGGGACGTTTTCCTGCCAGCACACGGCTGCGTATCCTCGTCAGAGACAATAAATCATATTTATTTGGAGGGTTGTATTCTGTGTTTCCTCCTCAGGTTTATCAGCAAGTTCTTTGTTAAGCCTCCGGGCTGTTTGCCTTTTGTTCTCAGCTGTACACGACTCTTAAATCACAAGCCACGTAGCGTCTTAAGATAATCACCTCCTGACATGTCGAGTGTTGATAATGAATCTGCTGTCTGCCTTCATGCAAAGACTAACTTCACTGTAGTCTGTTACTTTATTGCTCATATCTGTGTTTCAACCCTCCGGCAGCTGATCGCTGTTCAGATCAGTGTGAAGTGGAGAGGAGTGTTATCGCCGTGCATCACGAGCCCGACCTCACAGTGTAAGAGGGTCAGAGCACTTTCTCTGACAGCCAGTGACCGCGTGTGACTTCATGTAAATACACTTCAGAGTTTAAATATTTAAGCAGCGGCTAACTTGGCCCTTTGGAGGCCCCTGATGTACAAAGTAGATCTCTAGGGTTAGAGATGATTTCGTGGATGAAGTGTTTATGTTTTATAAGATAATTTATTTGTCACAGCCAAGAGGTCTGACGTGCTGCACTTGAGATTAAACCTGTCTTTTTGTAATGATGAGAAGTTTCTTTATAACCTGCAGGAAGGTTTAAAATGTGGAGTTTGGGGTTAATATCACAATGAAATGTGTTTTTCAGAGCGTCTTGCTCCTGAATTTGACGTAGTTGTGGTCGAAAAGGACAAGAAAACAAACAAACAAACTTAACGAGACGATCGTTCAGAAAGAAAACTCAATAACACACTCCAGCTAAAAGTAAATGGACACCAGAGACCACATACGTTTAAAGACGTTCTGTCATTTTGGGCTCTTTTACATCCAGTGATTGTAAATTTCAAAGCAAAGCATACACTGGTATAACAGGCAAAACACAGCAGTTTACCACAATATAATTTTTTTACCATCTAAAAAACATTATGCCATAGAAATGTATATTTCCCATGACAGCTGCATGCAGAAACTTCCAGTAAATTTGAAAACTGAACCGAAAACCAAACAGTTGCTCCACTCTGGTGTTGTTGTTTACTGTGTGCTTCATTTATTTACTGGTGTATCAAAAGGTAGGCTAGGCCAGAACTATTGGTTACTGTCTGTAAAAGTAAAAGCTAACCCCGGATTTATTCTCAGTCTGAAACTAGTTCTGTCCGCTTGGCATTTTGCCTCACTGTATTTGTGTTATTGCAGTGCTGTGTCATAGCTTCCTCTTCAGTGCCTGCTGCTGACGGTCTGGCACCTGGTTTTTATAAAGTCCTGATCTCACCTGTGTGCTGTGCCCAGTAGGGCTGCGTATGGCTACTTAATACCTTTACAGAAATAACCTAGTAGTATCGAAACGTCTTCGGTCAAACGATGCATTCAGTCGTTTTTGCGCTGGGTTCCTGATCCTGGATTGTCGTCTCCAGAGCGGCTCTCTTCCTGGCAAATGGTCAGTACAACGTCTGCCCGCTTAGCTTGAGCTAGCACAGCAGCAACAACAGTGAACGTCCAACACTGAGCTGTTAAACGGTTCCAAAAAAACTCACACTGACACCGGAACCGCGTGACTGTCGTTATACCCGTTAATAACTGTTAGGTAATGTTAGCCTTGTGATGCAAACAATTTGCCCAGCATAAAGCTCACACTCCTACAGCTCATATAGTGTGGTTTGGTGAGATGCCACAAAATGTTTAAAAGTATGGCTATACCACAAGCCCATGCTCTCACTGTAAGTGTTCTGATATCCTGATTTTTTTAAACGATACCTTGCCCTTGTGCCCATGAACGTCCTCAATGCAGAAAATAAGACAATCCAGACAGGTCAGAGACTCTGCAGACAAATACACCGCCACACACTGAGAGTGGGTCGTACTGTAAGTGGTGCTCGAGAGGGATTACTTTTGTAAGAGTCTATATTTTTTAGGGAAATCCTGCAGAGCATACCTTCAACAGAGAAAGCTCACATTAATAAACATTTGCTGCCAGCGAGCCAGAAATAGCTAAAATGCTGAAGAACCTGCTGTTCCATTTCCTGCTGGAGAAACCACCAGCTAGGCACGAGAGCTTTATCAAGTCTGGGTTAGCCGTAGCTTAAGAGGCAGTTTTACTTTTTCCTTGATGAACAGACTTCTTGATAATATGACCCCACATTAATAAGGCTGTAGCTAATTCAAGCATGATGGAGTAATGCCTGCTTAACTGGTCTCGCTGAAAATTAAGTCTACAGTGGAGTTCACATGATTTATTGTGGTCAAACTACTTATAAATCCCTGTATACATTACATTTACTGTGTTGGTTTCAAGGTAATTATCAACAGATACTGGGTTGAGAGCTTGAAGAACACGTCTGGTTTGTCTGCACTGAATTATTTTCACACATTTCCTGAACATGGTCCAAATACATAGTGCAGATTTAAGGTGTTATGTTTGTTCTGTGCCAAGAATTTAGAAATGCATCACATCTATCTGTTACACAGTTTCCCAGCCGGCCTGAATATGTTAAACCCTTCAGCTTTTCTGTAGGGTGCCCACAGATACTTGGTCGTACCGTCTATGAAATATGTACGAAATGTGATTTTAAATGTTTTCCTGGCAGGATTTTGATAAACAGACATGAGGAAAATTAAAAGATCTGCATTTGTTGTCATACATGTGTACTGTCACAAGGGCTATCGCTGTAGAATCACAGAAAAAGTCAAGATTGAAAGCTCGTTCTTGACCATGGAAGCCAACCCAGTCACCAGAGAAAATGTATGTTTCTGCAAAACACAGATGCGTTGTATTTCTATGTTATTATGAAGTGGATACATCACATTTTATGTTTTAACAATGCTGTGGTTATATGGTTCAGTTTAGCCACACAAGTCTGTGGGAAAAGGTCATGTTGTGGCCTAAAATACCCAGTTCTGGGTGCACAATCCAATTTGGAAAGGCAGTGATGTCTCAACAGCTCTTTGTGCCACTGTCCCGCTGGAAATAAAAAGCATCCACGTTTGGTGCCTGAAAAGCTGCTGGAAACACAGCAATGAAAAAACAATCTGTTTTGTTTGTTGGTCTTGAACAGTTGTCTGCAGCTTAGGAGGCGATGCTGTCTCCCTCGACATCTCCTCCACCTCCTGATGACAGAGTCAGCTCATACACTGCATCACGTTAGAAATGTTTACGATACATGTGCAGTGTCGGGAAGGTTAGTTTTGAAATTTAATGAGAGATTAATAGTTACCCTGTTAAAAATATAATAAGTAATTTAACTATTTTAACTACTTCATCAAAGTAATGTAACGTATTACATTTGATTACTTTTATTATGTGACTTACTGGGGTTACATTAACTAACCTATAGAGGTTTTGTCAGAATTGATATTGAGCATTTTAATGTTGACAGCAGTAGTGTCAGAGCCTTTTCTGATTTCAGAAGGAAAATATAGTTAAATTCTCGCACTAAAGGAATTATGTCTTACAACACGGTAGTCGGCTGGTCATAGCCAGGCAATGGCAGACTTAAAGAGGTACTTCACTTATTTTTAGAGATGTACTAATACCACTTTTTCCTTACAGATACCGATCCCTGAACCTTAGGTATCTGCCGATACTGAGTACCGATCCAATACCAGCACGTAAAATAAAAATGGATGGGATATGAATTGTTTTATGTCTCAACTCCTAAAACTCTCTGTAAAATATTAAGAAATAAATACATAATAGTAGAATGAATGCCATAAAACTTTTTTTTTTATTATTATTATTATTATCCAGTGTTGACACAGATCAAGACACAGGTTAAAGTGCAGCCACACAATTTGGTAAAAAAGACATTTCAAAGGCTACAGTAGAATGCTTTTTAAACTCTGCTCCGTTTGCGTTTCGTTTGCCTGTAGCGTGCGTATGCGTAATGACATGCGGCATTACGTGGTATCGGATTGGTCATGGGCTGTACTCACCGATACCTGATACCGCATTTTAGGCAGTATCGGAGGCATTTCCGATACTGGTATCTGTACCGGTACAACTCTACTTATTTTCAACCAGCTCTGTGTAAGAACAGTGTGGGTAGTATGTGTCAGTGAACTGTACGAAGCTTCTCTCCATCTAACCACTGCCCAGGTCTCCCTCCTCGCCCACCGGCGAAATTCTGCCAGATGATGTAATTTACGTCATGACACAGATTACGTCATCCAGCGGAGTTTTGCTGGCCCTCGGGCTGTTGCTCAAACTACAGGCTTTACTTGCAAACACAGAGTAAAGCAGAACAAGAGCCGACCCGCCCGCCTCGAACTCAAACCAAAATCTGATCAAACAGTAAAAAAAGGCAGTGCTGGTCGAACATATATAAAGATTGTGTTACTGCACTGCCTGTTTCTCACCAACAGTGTTTTTAGAAACATATTTTAGAGCCGTTTTTAGCTGTAATAGCGAGGATTTGTGAACAGGAAGTGGGCACCACACTGTTTCCTGCACAGTGAAAATGGTGGCTGAAAAATCTGAGATCAAATAGTAAAACTTAGCAGCGATTAAATATAAATTAAGATTCTTTAACTAAGTTGCCCATTTCTCTCCTGAGATGTTTTCAGAAACATGTTTTAGCTCACTGTTTAACTGTCAGAAATCAAGATCATTTTTTGCCAGCCAGCTGATTTGTTTCAAGCTAACGTGTTCGCATTTGTCGCTTACACGGAGGAGCATTTATTAGCCCGGTGCGGCGCACTGCATTCTGGTAGTTGTAGGTTTTTCTCCCTCTTGAGCAAAAGCTTTCTTTTTCTCTGTTTTCTCTGGTTCTTTAGCACCAATGTCAAAAGTATTTGCGTCTTCCTACTGCAGAGGCATCCTAGTTTTATTAAGAGGCCATCTTTACAGCAGTGAAGTACCTCTTTAAGTTGCTCAGAGCAATGCTCATTGATTTTATTGCCAAACTGGAGGCAATGTAAGTTTAGAAAAGAGAACTGATCAAAATGTGCCCGTCCACACAGATCCTTGTAAGCCAGCCTACCCTTGACGGTGTTGTATTTAAATTTGTTTACAGTAGATTACAGTAACATTTGTTTTGTAATTTAGTTACGTAACTGTTGTTAATAAGTTATCCCCCAACACTGTGCATATGAAACTTAGAAATGTAATGTACCTGTGGTTTGTAGAAACATAGCAACATTCTCCTCTGGTGACTGGTGTGCTGAAACAATCACACACTCTTCCTCAGCAGAATTTATTTGTCACTGACTTTTTCAAAAAGTCATTTTATTTCATTGTGACTTTAAATGCAGCTATTTCTTTAAGGTGGTGAGAAACTTTTATTTGTTTTACATTTTCTCTCTAGAGATGCCACATTTCACTGCAGGGGTTCAGGGGTCAGAGGTCAGAGTAAGGTTAGGGGTCAGAGTTTAACGGTAGGACTTTTCCGGTGCAACAGACTCACCAGCTGCTGTCAGGGGAATTGAACCCCCCACCGACCCTGCTGCCTCCACTATGTCCTATTTATATAACGTTTTCTATGTAACGGTATGTGTTATGTAACTGCTATGAAATGTAATTTCCTGCAAAGTGTTGACATGTTTGATCTGTGCTTGATCTGTTGTGAAAGATGCTCCACGGACAGATTTTTTCCTGCATGATTCAGTCTGGATCGATGTTTCTGTCTCATGATGCTACTGAGAGCAACTTACTGACTGTACTTGTTGTCTTAGTATCCTGACTACTGTTGTGTAACACAGATGGCTTATCATGTTTTCTTACGAGGGCAATGAGTTCCTGCTCATGTTAGGAAACCCTCTGGCCGGCCTGTGATCTCCTCCTGTCGCTGCTGTCGGGACGAAATGATGCAAATCTGCGGAAAGTAAAGTTTCATAAAGAGCTTAAAACAAAAACATTTTTATTTGAAGTTACACAATCAGAGTTTGAAGAGCCGAAGCGTCAAAGGTCTCATATAAGGTGCAAATGCCTGAATGAACACTTTAAACATTCGCAGATTTGTGTGATTTTTCCTCGACAGCAGCGCGATGCTGCTCAGCTGTGGGACTCAGTGCAATACAGCTTGCTGGTGTTCCCTCAAACCACAAACCAATCAGTAAAAGCAGAAGAAAAATCTGAATGAAAGGGCTTTCACTATCTTAACTTTGGTTGAGCCGTTTGCTATTCAGCATGTGATCTGAACAAGTTGCTGCAGATTATTGTAAATATGGAGGTGTAACAGTCTGATTAAAATGAGATGTTGAGTCTGAGTCTGTGTTTTGGATTGATTTGGTACCAAACATCCTCAAAATGCACCTTTAAAATATTCATCATAGAACAGTTGGGAAGGGCTATTTACTTTATTAATCCCTCAACAACTCTGAATACAGCGTGGGAGGGAGACTTGATTCCTTAATTGGGACAGCATGTTGAGCGCTAACCAGCACTAACCAGTGACCATTTTAGGGAGCGGGTGATTTCCTGGCTGGCTTTCACCAATGTAGGTAGTCATGGAGATGCTGCTCTGCATCCACGCTGGATTTGTGTGTGTTACCTGTGGTGTCCGTGACACGTGAAGTCAAAGAGGAAGAGGCAGGGGGTCTCAGTTGTTTGAACGCACATCATGAGCACCTGATTTTTCTTGTTGCTTTCTCATTGTATCACTTCTCCTCACATTTGCAGCTCAGTTACGACTAAAGCAGTAACAGATACTTTATGGCTGTACTTTACTGGTTTGATGCTGCACGCCATCTTATCTTTTTGTATCTGTTTTTCTTTAACGATGCATATCGGCATAAAATTAAACCTTAGCATTCCTTTCTGCAGCCTCAGAGACTACAGAGAAGGAGTGGAAAAAAACAGCAAGTAAAACTAGTTTTGCTTTACGTATATAAACAAGTCTTCTTAGACTTAGGGGAGACTTTCGATCTGTAGAACCTTTTTTAATTATGATATCTTGAGGTGAAAGTTAAATGGACCATTTTGAAAATGCCAGTTGTTACCAAAATTTTGTGTTATTTAGGCCACTTTCCAACAATTTATGCTGACATAATTAGTACCATTGGATGTCTTAAGCCCAGTTCAGACCAAAGATTCACCATGAGACGAGTTGAAAAAGGCAACTACTTGCAATGTGCTGTTCTGCAGGGTTCTACAAAACCTGCTGGTTCACACCAATGCAACTAGATGAGACGGTGTATCATCTCTAGTCAACAACTCTCTGTGCTTCTAATCTGTAACGTTGACAGGAAGTGACCACCATGAGACGGTGTATCATCTCTAGTCAACAACTCTCTGTGCTTCTAATCTGTAACGTTGACAGGAAGTGACCACCATGAGACGGCGTATCATCTCTAGTCAACAACTCTCTGTACTTTCGTTCTGATTTGCAGGTTTTCAGACTTATTTTGTGGCTGAATATAATTTGTAGCTTCTTAAAATCTGAATGAGGATAGTGATAGTGAGATACTGGCTACAGTGATGAAACAAAACCAGCATCAGATGGACTGTATTCATAATCAATACACCACAATAATGTTAATAAACAGCACTGATTCATCAGTCAATGAGAATGTGTGTGTGGGCGGGGCATAAGCACATACAGCCAGCAGCAGCGACCCACCGTCCGACACTGGCACACTGAGGACAGAAACAAGAGGGCTTGACTAGGACGGAGCACTTGCTGCATTAAGCAAACACGCCGTCTGTGGTCATTTTGACTTGACCAGCGGACTTCACTACAAGCTGATTGGCTGTTGAAACAGTTGACGTGCCTTAAAACCAGCAGCCAGTGATTTGACCAGTTGAGTCCCAGGTGACACCATCAGCCGGCTTGAGTCGAGCTCAGACCGGCCAGTTCACATAACCTATAGTACATTTTTCTGTAATTTTAAAGGGACAGTTCACCCCAAAATCAAAAATCTGTTTCGTCTTACATGTAGTGATGTGTATCAGTCTAGACTGGTTTGGTGTGAGGTGCACAGTGTTGGGAGATATCGTCCGTAGAGATGTCTGCCTTCTCTCCCGTATAATGGCAGCAGATGGCACTCGGCTTGTGGTGCTCAAAGCACCAAAAAATACATTTGAAGGAACTACTTTTTCTCTACCGAACTACAACTGCCAGCTGTATCACTGCGCAGAAGGAAGCGTGCATCTACTCATGGATGAGAGGCTCGTGCTGCGCGAGATGTAAATATTAATGGTGTAACTTTAGTTTATTACTTTGATGCCTATAACTCCACAGTCATTTTAAATTTTACTTCCCAGCAATATAAAATCATACATGAAAATAGAATTGTTTCTAGTCTGGCAGGTTGTTTTTAGCCAGATTACAAATCACTTGTTTAACCCCACTACAGCTGATTGCAGATGGTTTGTAGTGAAGTGCCAACACACTCTGCTCCGCCCCCTCTGTGTCCCTCTGCAGAGAGTCCTGCTTTATTTAGCTCATATGACTCGCCAAAACAACTGTCCCGCTGTGCTCACATGATGTGACTGTTTGATGCCATTGATTAGGCTCACATGAAAGTTATTGATCGGGAGCACAGTCAACATCTCGGACAATGTGGAATTGTTCCAGTGAGGGTTTTTTTTTTTTTTTTGGTCCTAACTGTGTGCGCTCCAGGCTTCAGAGCAACCACAACAGCAGCATGTGGTCCAAGACAAATGTTGATTTGTGTTGATACAGACCTCTCTTCAGTAATGTTATGATGATGCAACAATAATTT